TGACTTGTGGCTCGTGAGATCGATGGTTACAAATCCATAGGGTTGGGACCAGCAATGCTTACACAGAGCGTCAAATTGTTACTTGGTAAGATCGTTGCAGTGGTCACGCCGGATATGATCGAGATTCTTAGCATCTTGCTGAAAGAGACAGATAAAGTTTGCATGTTCTCAGATCGATTGTCGGGGCAGTTTGAAGTAGTTCTGTCACAGGTAGAAACAATCGACGTTGTTGTGGCGATCGCGCACGTAGTAGTCTTCACACGTGTTCTGTTTGCTCAGCAACAAGTCGTCGAACACTATGAGGTTCTTGTGGCTAGGGTCAAGTTCCCGGGGTCTGGTACATCGCTCCCTTGCTCGAAGAAAAAAGTATCGATACCATTTGGGTGTCGTGGTGGAGGTAAGGCGTTGACCACATCGATCAACGAGTAGGGTGACTTGCCCTTGCACTGTAGGAGGTCTCGTATATCTTCCTTAGGGAAGCCTTTTCCCAGCGCTTGCTGCAACCGCTGGTAGATGGGCTGGTGAAGCGATTTTCCGAAAACGTACAATCGATCGTTGTCGAGCCATCCATCGCGCAGGAGTAGGTTGTTCAACAGCGTTGTCTTACCACAGTCCGACCTCCCAATGATCAACCCTCTGATCGACCGCTGCGGTAGGAGATAGTGATTGCTCCTTTTGGGAGCGTTGGCACTGTAGGAAATGTCTTCGACGTTCATTTATTTAGATGCCTTTCAAGCGGTGTTCAAGGAGCGCGTTCCTGAGAAATTGTGGACAGACATTTTATTTTCGTGAAGTTAACTAATCAAATGGTTCTGCATGTTTGAGTTTGTGGTCACACTTGTCCAGCTTGTCCATTATTTTTGCTCATGTTCTTTGATTGCTGCATCATATTCTATCTTCATTAATTTTATATCCGTTTAAATCTGGTCGCACTAGGTTTCATACGTGCTGTCTTTTACTTTTTTTAATAACCCACCATTTCATTACAGCATCCGAACTGGCCCTCGGAGCTTTCAGAATGGTGATATGGTTGTCGTTCATGTTCCAGTATTTGAAGGAACTACCCTTGATCATCCCTCTTTATCAATGGCCTTTGTGTTGTTCCATTCCCTGAAAAATGCTATTCGGAGATTGGCGAGCATTTCCAATGGATTTTGGCTCTTTCTGATGGGTCGTCCAAGTTCGTCCCAAAGATGTTCCATTGGCGATAATCAGGAGACATTGCTGGCCACGGCAACACACGAATGAGATTATTCTCCAAAAAATCATTAAAATGTGTGCCACGTGACAACGGGCGTTTTCCTGCTGAAAAACGTGGTTAAAACGATGCCTTCGGAGAAACGGGAGAACGAGTGGAGCCAGAATTTCGTTCCTATACCTTTTTGCATTTAGGTTACCTTCAATAATTGTCAGATCGGTGCGTTCCTGGTAGGTTATTCCGTCCCATACAACAATTCCGCCACCCTCAAACCGATCCGTTTCCTGTACGCACGCATCAGAAAATCATGCATTGCATCTCCGGTAGACACTGGCTTTGCCGTCGCTAAATGTCAAGTTGAATTTCTATTCATCGGTAAAAAGGACTTGTCTCCATGTTAGTCTATTCCATCGAATCCGTACCCGAGTCCATTGAAGTCGCGACATCCTGTGACCCTGCATAAGGATAGGTCGTCCCTTCAACGGACGATGGGCTCTTAGGCAAACTTGATGCAGTCGGTTACAAACTGTTTGGGAATAAGCCTGTTGTTGTTTCTTCCATGAGTTTGTCGTGCTGTTTGTGACAAATTTACAAATCGATTCCGGAGATGAATAATGCGTATGTGACTGTCCTGACGTAACTTCATTTCACGTTGCCTGCAACCTCGGGGACGATTATTTGTCGTGCCAGTATCTCTAAGACGAGTCTTAAGCTTTTCAATATTCATTCTAGAGACATTGGGATGATTTGCAACCTGTATTAGAGTCATTTTTGCTGCCAACAACACAATAGCTCGTTCTCTCTCATTATGACGTAGACGTGGCATTGACTTACATGTAACTTTTTCAATTTTTTAATGCGACCTTTTGTTAACAATAGTGCTCGACACATTTAATGAACAAAAGGACAACTCAATTCCATCTCTATACAGGTAAATGTTTGAAAAAATGCTTATTTGTTTAAAATCAGAAAATGACCTAACGTCGTCTTCGAATTTTTAACAAATTAGTAAATGATAGATAAATCATTCAGGTCACTAGTTTTAATCTTGAAAATATTATAAATTAATATATGTAATTTCTTTTAATTAAAAACCAGGGTAACGTTTCTTTTTTTTGCCTATATAGCTAGTAAACATTTATTTATATCAGACAATGCACGCACGTGGACGAGGGTACTTATACCGTCTTTAGGAATGTGGCGCTTGGATTGTCAATGATAAAGTTAACTGGTCTGTATGTAGTTTTACTATCATATCTTTTTAACAACTCAGTACTGTTTGCCGATTTTGTTTTATTCTGGTACAAAACCTCTGATGTAAATATACTTTTGAAAATAATACAAAGTAGACTGTCTATTAAGTCTGTCATAGTATATAGAACTTTAGGTTGTATACCAGCTGGCCTTCGCACTAAAGTTCTTTCATCTTCATCGTTTTCTTTTTCGAAATTCCCTTGAAAAAAATTTAGTCAGTGTCCAGCCTTCTCTTTATCAGTACTTACATAACACATTTTACAATCTCTTTCATCATGTAATTCGGATGGGGGGATTTGGATTTTCATTTCGACTTCATATGACAAGAAATTCTTCTTTCCTGACTCTGATATGTCTTTTTCACGGTTTTCACGTTCTTGTCCGACATTTGAGTTGGCTTTGTTCCTCACTAAATTTTAGTTCCTTTCCACATAGCACCTCTTGAAGCTTTGCGCAAACTATGCGCCTGTGTTCCCTCTACAAGACCTTTATAGTCTTACCCCGCGACATCCCTCATTATTTTTTCCAAAGGCTATGGAATAGGCAAATTCCTGTTGTTTTTCCCAAATTTTTTTGAAATTCCGAGCCCTAGTTTCAGTTTTTGGACAAAGCGCAACTCGAAACCTTGCGCAAACCATGCGCCTGTTTCTCCTCTACAAGACCTATATAGCTATACCCCGTGAAACTCCACATTATTTTTTTCTCTAGAAGCCATTGAATAGGTGTAATACCATCAATGCATGGTACGTCACATCCGGTTGCATACGAAAATAGGTCGAAAAAAATATTCCCTTGAATTTGACAGTTATAGGTAATTAATTCATCATTTTTATTGCAGTAAAACATTTCTGGGTCATAAACATATACATGTATCTTGGGTATTTCAAAGCATCATTTTTTTTTTTTTATTTTTGGTTTCTATAGAATATTTTGGAAACTCGAGGTTGCATGGTAACTAAAGCTTGTATACAGGTAGGTTATATAAGGAGGAAAATTTGATTGGTTAACTGACAGTTATGGTTATTTTCTTATATGCAATGAAATTTTATGTGAATTCTTTTCTATAGTACTGGACAGGATAAAACTTTACTCATGCCAAGTATTTTTTTAATTTGAAACAAAAATAAATTCTGCATAATTTTTTGAAAAGTGCAAATTCTAAAAAGACTAATAAGGGGAAAATCAATGGTGGTATTACACCTAATATGGGGTGCTGTACATGCACCTTTGACCTTGTGAGTATACTCGTGTGTTAAAATTTCTTGCTATTCAAGTGAAATATTACAAACAATGAAATATTCTGAGTGGATTGAGTCTCCAAAACATATTTTATGAGAACATTTCCTTGAAATTGGACTCTACCATGAATATTAGTTAACAGAACAAGCCATACTTCACGGTGTTTTGGGGAGCTTTTTATCCTTTTTTCTTATATTCTGCTATAATAGAAAGTTTTCTCTCAGAAATATTTTAATAAATATATAGTTATAAGTAAATGTGATTATTTTTTAAAGCAGCACCAACAAATTATTCACTAATAGAGAAGCTTGTTATGTCCCTCTCTGGAACGCTGCGTAAATTTAAGTTTTACGTAAGGACTTATTAAAACCTCCAGTAAACTTTTAAATGGATTGTTCATTCTGCTTGAATACTTCAATTACTCAATGTAATTTATTGTAACATTTCTATCATAAATGAGTGAAAGTTACTTCATTATTTTTATTTATTGGCCTGAAAAGTTGAAATTTTTAGGAAATGACATGTATAAATGGACCAAAAGAGATAATATTTAATCATTATTGGTCCACACTATATTCTATCATGATGCGGGTTGGTTTGGATTTTTCGAAAAATATCTGCACGAATCGCTGAAGATGTCGTCGTACATTATACTAGATTTTTCTCAAACTATTGAACTGATTATGACAAAACATGACAGGAATGCTTGAAAAAAACAGTATTACAAAGGAAAAAATCCCTTTCAGTTTATTAAATAAAAATGTCTTCTTCAGGTGTAATACCACCAAATCATGGCATGTCACATCCGGTTGCATACAAAAATAGGTCGAAAAAATATTCCCTTAAATTTGACAGCTGTAGGTAATTAATCCATCATTTTATTGCAGTCAAACATTTCTGGGTCATCAACATATACATGTATCTTGGGTATTTCAAAGAATCATTATTGTTTTATTTGGGGTTTCTATAGAATATTTTGGAAACTTGAGGTTGCATGGTTACTAAAGCTTGTACACAGGTTAAATAAGGGGCAAATTTGATTGGTTAACTGACAGTGATAGTTATTTTCTTATATGCAATGAAATGTTATGTTAATTTTTTAATTTGAAACAAAGATAAATTCTCCACAATTTTTTGGAAAACTGCAAATTCAAAAAAAAAAAAATAATAAATGAAAATCAATGGAGGTATTACACCAATAGGCCAACCCGATCTGTTTTATTCCATTTTTTTTTCAAATTTTGAGCTCTAGTTTCAGATTTTTTAACATAGCGCCCTTCGATACCTTGCGCAAAAGATGCGCCTCTTTCTCCTCTACAAGACCTATATAGTCATACCCCGGGACACCCCTCATTATTTTTCTTTAGAAGCCATGAAATAGGCCAACTCCCCTGTTTTTAACCACTTTTCTTCAAATTTTGAGCTCTAGTTTCAGATTTTTTAACATAGCGCCCTTCGATACCTTGCGCAAAAGATGCGCCTGTTTCTCCTCTACAAGACTCATATAGTCATACTCCGTGACATCCCTCATTATTTTTCTCTAGAAGCCATGGAATAGGCCAACCTCCCCCCCCCCCCCCCCCTGTTTTTAACAATTTTTTTTTTCAAATTTTGTGCGCTAGTTTCAGATTTTTGAACATAGCGCCCTTCGATACCTTGCGCAAAAGATGCACCTGCTTCTGTACTACAAGACCGATATAGTCATACCCTGTGACACCCCTCATTATTTTTCTCTAGAAGCCATGGAATAGGCCAACCCCCCCTGTTTTTAATAAATTTTCTTTTCAAATTTTGAACTCTAGTTTCAGATTTTTGAACATAGCGCCCTTCGATACCTTGCTCAAAAGATGCGCCAGTTTCTCCTCTACAAGACCTATATAGTCATACCCCGTGACACCCCTCATTATTTTTCTCTAGAAGCCATGGAATAGGCCAACCCCCCTTATTCTAACATTTTTTTTTAAATTTTGAGCCCTAGTTTCAGATTTTTGAACATAGCTCCCTTCGATACCTTGCGCAAAAGATGTGCCTGTTTCTACTCTACAAGACCTATATAGTCATACCCCGTGACACCCCTCATTATTTTTCTCTAGAAGCCAATGAATAGACAAACCCCACCCTGTTTTTAACATTTTTTTTTTTTAATTTTGAGCTCTAGTTTCAGATTTTTGAACATAGCGCCCTTCGATATCTTGCGCAAAAGATGCGCCTGTTTCTCCTCTTCAAGACCTATATAGTCATACCCCGTGACACCCCTCATTATTTTTCTCTAGAAGCCATTGAATAGGCCAACCCCCCTGTTTTTAACATTTTTTTTTTAATTTTGAGCTCTAGTTTCAGATTTTTGAACATAGCGCCCTTCGATACCTTGCGCAAAAGATGCGCCTGTTTCTCTTCTACAAGACCTATATGGTCATACCCCGTGACACCCCTCATTGTTTTTCTATAGAAGCCATGGAATAGGCCAATCCCCCTGTTTTTAACATTATTTTTTTTAATTTTGAGCTCTAGTTTCAGATTTTTGAACATAGCGCCCTTCGATACCTTGCGCAAAATATGCACCTGTTTCTCTATTACAAGACCTATATAGTCATACCCTGTGGCATCCCTCATCCCCTGTTTTAAATAATTTTTTTTTTCAAATTTTGACCTCTAGTTTCAGATTTTTGAACATAGCACCCTTCGATACCTTGCGCAAAAGATGCGCCTGTTTCTCCTCTATAAGACCAATATAGTCATATTCCGTGACACCCCTCATTATTTTTCTCTAGAAGCCATGGAATAGGCCAACCCCCCCCCCCCCCAACCCCCCCCCCCTGTTTTTAACATTTTTTTTTTAATTTTGAGCTCTAGTTTCAGATCTTTGAACATAGCGCCCTTCGATACCTTGCGCAAAAGATGCGCCTGTTTCTCCTCTACAAGACCTGTATAGTCATACTCCGTGACACCCCTCATTATTTTTCTCTAGAAACCATGGAATAGGCCAACCCCCCCTGTTTTTAACAATTTTTTTTTTAATTTTGAGCTCTAGTTTCAGATTTTTGAACATAGCGCCCTTCGATACCTTGCGCAAAAGATGCGCCTGTTTCTGCTCTACAAGACCTGTATAGTCATACTCCGTGACACCCCCCATTGTTTTTTGTCTAGAAGCCATTGAATAGGCCAACCCCCCTGTTTTTAACATTTTTTTTTTTAATTTTGAGCTCTAGTTTCAGATTTTTGAACATAGCGCCCTTCGATACCTTGCGCAAAAGATGCGCCTGTTTCTCCTCTATAAGACCAATATAGTCATATCCCGTGACACCCCTCATTATTTTTCTCTAGAAGCCATGGAATAGGCCAACCCCCCCCCCCCCCCCCCTGTTTTAACATATTTTTTTTTAATTTTGAGCTCTAGTTTCAGATTTTTGAACATAGCGCCCTTCGATACCTTGCGCAAAAGATGCGCCGCCTGTTTCTCCTCTATAAGACCAATATAGTCATATCCCGTGACACCCCTCATTATTTTTCTCTAGAAGCCATGGAATAGGCCAACCCCCCTGTTTTTAACATTTTTTTAAAATTTTGAGCTCTAGTTTCAGATTTTTGAACATAGCGCCCTTCGATACCTTGCGCAAAAGATGCGCCTGTTTCTCCTCTTCAAGACCTATATAGTCATACCCCGTGACACCCCTCATTATTTTTCTCTAGAAGCCATTGAATAGGCCAACCCCCCTGTTTTTAACATTTTTTTTTTAATTTTGAGCTCTAGTTTCAGATTTTTGAACATAGCGCCCTTCGATACCTTGCGCAAAAGATGCGCCTGTTTCTCTTCTACAAGACCTATATGGTCATACCCCGTGACACCCCTCATTGTTTTTCTATAGAAGCCATGGAATAGGCCAATCCCCCTGTTTTTAACATTATTTTTTTTAATTTTGAGCTCTAGTTTCAGATTTTTGAACATAGCGCCCTTCGATACCTTGCGCAAAAGATGCACCTGTTTCTCTATTACAAGACCTATATAGTCATACCCTGTGGCATCCCTCATCCCCTGTTTTAAATAATTTTTTTTTTCAAATTTTGACCTCTAGTTTCAGATTTTTGAACATAGCACCCTTCGATACCTTGCGCAAAAGATGCGCCTGTTTCTCCTCTATAAGACCAATATAGTCATATTCCGTGACACCCCTCATTATTTTTCTCTAGAAGCCATGGAATAGGCCAACCCCCCCCCCCCCCCCCCCCCCCCCCAACCCCCCCCCCCCTGTTTTTAACATTTTTTTTTTAATTTTGAGCTCTAGTTTCAGATCTTTGAACATAGCGCCCTTCGATACCTTGCGCAAAAGATGCGCCTGTTTCTCCTCTACAAGACCTGTATAGTCATACTCCGTGACACCCCTCATTATTTTTCTCTAGAAACCATGGAATAGGCCAACCCCCCCTGTTTTTAACAATTTTTTTTTTAATTTTGAGCTCTAGTTTCAGATTTTTGAACATAGCGCCCTTCGATACCTTGCGCAAAAGATGCGCCTGTTTCTGCTCTACAAGACCTGTATAGTCATACTCCGTGACACCCCCCATTGTTTTTTGTCTAGAAGCCATTGAATAGGCCAACCCCCCTGTTTTTAACATTTTTTTTTTTAATTTTGAGCTCTAGTTTCAGATTTTTGAACATAGCGCCCTTCGATACCTTGCGCAAAAGATGCGCCTGTTTCTCCTCTATAAGACCAATATAGTCATATCCCGTGACACCCCTCATTATTTTTCTCTAGAAGCCATGGAATAGGCCAACCCCCCCCCCCCCCCTGTTTTAACATATTTTTTTTTAATTTTGAGCTCTAGTTTCAGATTTTTGAACATAGCGCCCTTCGATACCTTGCGCAAAAGATGCGCCGCCTGTTTCTCCTCTATAAGACCAATATAGTCATATCCCGTGACACCCCTCATTATTTTTCTCTAGAAGCCATGGAATAGGCCAACCCCCCTGTTTTTAACATTTTTTTAAAATTTTGAGCTCTAGTTTCAGATTTTTGAACATAGCGCCCTTCGATACCTTGCGCAAAAGATGCGCCTGTTTCTCCTCTACAAGACCAATATAGTCATATCCCGTGACACCCCTCATTACATTTCTCTAGAAGCCATGGAATAGGCCAACCCTCCTGTTTTTAACATTTTTTTTTTTAATTTTGAGCTCTAGTTCAGATTTTTGAACATAGCGCCCTTCGATACCTTGCGCAAAAGATGCGCCTGTTTCTCCTCTACAAGACCTATATAGTCATATCCCGTGACACCTCTCATTATTTTTCTCTAGAAGCCATGGAAAAGGCCAATCCCCCTGTTTTTAACATTTTTTTTAAAATTTTTAGCTCTAGTTTCAGATTTTTGAACATAGCGCTCTTCGATACCTTGCGCAGAATATTCGCCTGTTTCTCCTCTACAAGACCTATATAGTCATACTCCGTGACACCCGTCATTATTTTTCTCTAGAAGCCATGGAATAGGCCAACCCCCCTGTTTTTAACATTTTTTTTTTTTTAATTTTGAGCTCTAGTTTCAGATTTTTGAACATAGCGCCTTTCGATACCTTGCGCAAAAGATGCGCCTGTTTCTCTTCTACAAGACCAATATAGTCATATCCCGTGACACCCCTCATTATTTTTCTCTAGAAGCCATGGAATAGGCCAACCCCCCCCCCCTGTTTTTAACATTTTTTTTTTTAATTTTGAGCTCTAGTTTCAGATTTTTGAACATAGCGCCCTTCGATACCTTGCGCAAAAGATGCGCCTGTTTCTCCTCTACAAGACCTATATAGTCATATCCCGTGACACCTCTCATTATTTTTCTCTAGAAGCCATGGAATAGGCCAATCCCCCTGTTTTTAACATTTTTTTTTAAATTTTTAGCTCTAGTTTCAGATTTTTGAACATAGCGCTCTTCGATACCTTGCGCAGAATATGCGCCTGTTTCTCCTCTACAAGACCTGTATAGTCATACTCCGTGACACCCGTCATTATTTTTCTCTAGAAACCATGGAATAGGCCAACCCCCCCCTATTTTTAACAATTTTTTTTAAAATTTTGAGCTCTTGTTTCAGATTTTTGAACATAGCGCCCTTCGATACCTTGCGCAAAAGATGCGCCTGTTTCTCTTCTACAAGACCTGTATAGTCATACTCCGTGACACCCCTCATTGTTTTTCTCTAGAAGCCATTGAATAGGCCAACCCCCCTGTTTTTAAGATTTTTTTTTTTAATTTTGAGCTCTAGTTTCAGATTTTTGAACATAGCGCCCTTCGATACCTTGCGCAAAAGATGCGCCTGTTTCTCCTCTACAAGACCTATATAGTCATATCCCGTGACACCCCTCATTATTTTTCTCTAGAAGCCATGGAATAGGCCAACCCCCCTGTTTTTAACATTTTTTTTTTTAATTTTGAGCTCTAGTTTAAGATTTTTGAACATAGCGCCCTTCGATACCTTGCGCAAAAGATGCGCCTGTTTCTCCTCTACAAGACCTATATAGTCATACCCCGTGACACCCCTCATTATTTTTCTCTAGAAGCCATGGAATAGGCCAACCCCCCTGTTTTTAACATTTTTTTAAAATTTTGAGCTCTAGTTTCAGATTTTTGAACATAGCGCCCTTCGATACCTTGTGCAAAAGATGCGCCTATTTCTCTTCTACAATACCTATATAGTCATACCCCGTGACACCCCTCACTATTTTTCTCTAGAAGCCATGGAATAGGCCAACCCCCCTGTTTTTAACATTTTTTTAAAATTTTGAGCTCTAGTTTCAGATTTTTGAACATAGCGCCCTTCGATACCTTGCGCAAAAGATGCGCCTATTTTTCCTCTACAATACCTATATAGTCATACCCCGTGACACCCCTCATTATTTTTCTCTAGAAGCCATGGAATAGGCCAACCCCCCTGTTTTTAACATTTTTTTTTTTTAATTTTGAGCTCTTGTTTCAGATTTCTGAACATAGCGCCCTTCGATACCTTGCGCAAAAGATGCGCCTGTTTCTCTTCTACAAGACCTGTATAGTCATACTCCGTGACACCCCTCATTGTTTTTCTCTAGAAGCCATTGAATAGGCCAACCCCCCTGTTTTTAACAATTTTTTTTTTTAATTTTGAGCTCTAGTTTCAGATTTTTGAACATAGCGCCCTTCGATACCTTGCGCAAAAGATGCGCCTGTTTCTCTTCTACAAGACCTGTATAGTCATACTCCGTGACACTCCTCATTATTTTTCTCTAGAAACCATGGAATAGGCCAACCCCCCCTGTTTTTAACAATTTTTTTTTTAAATTTTGAGCTCCAGTTTCAGATTTTTTAACATAACGCCCTTCGATACCTTGCGCAAAAGATGCGCCTGTTTCTGCTCTACAAGACCTGTATAGTCATACTCCGTGACACCCCTCATTATTTTTCTCTAGAAGCCATGGAATAGGCCAACCCCCCCCTGTTTTTAACATTTTTTTTAAAATTTTTAGCTCTAGTTTCAGATTTTTGAACATAGCGCCCTTCGATACCTTGCGCAAAAGATGCGCCTGTTTCTGCTCTACAAGACCTGTATAGTCATACTCCGTGACACCCCTCATTATTTTTCTCTATAAGGCATGGAATAGGCCAACCCCCCTGTTTTTAACAATTTTTTTTTAAATTTTGAGCTCTAGTTTCAGATTTTTGAACATAGCGCCCTTCGATACCTTGCGCAAAAGATGCGCCTGTTTCTCCTCTACAAGACCTGTATAGTCATACTCCGTAACACTCCTCATTATTTTTCTCTAGAAGCCATGGAATAGGCCAACCCCCCTGTTTTTAACATTTTTTTTTTTTAATTTTGAGCACTAGTTTCAGATTTTTGAACATAGCGCCCTTCGATACCTTGCTCAAAAGATGCGCCTGTTTCTGCTCTACAAGACCTATATAGTCATACTCCGTGACACCCCTCATTATTTTTCTCTAGAAGCCATGGAATAGGCTAACCCCCCTGTTTTTAACATTTTTTTTTTTAATTTTGAGCTCTAGTTTCAGATTTTTGAACATAGCACCCTTCGATACCTTGCGCAAAAGATGCGCCTGTTTCTCCTCTACAAGACCAATATAGTCATATCCCGTGACACCCCTCATTATTTTTCTCTAGAAGCCATGGAATAGGCCAACCCCCCTGTTTTTAACATTTTTTTTTTTAATTTTGAGCTCTAGTTTCAGATTTTTGAACATAGCGCCTTTCGCTACCTTGCGCAAAAGATGCGCCTGTTTCTCCTCTACAAGACCAATATAGTCAAACCCCGTGACACCCCTCATTATTTTTCTCTAGAAGCCATGGAATAGGCCAACCCCCCCTGTTTTTAACATTTTTTTTTTAATTTTGAGCTCTAGTTTCAGATTTTTGAACATAGCGCCCTTTGATACCTTGCGCAAAAGATGCGCCTGTTTCTCCTCTACAAGACCTGTATAGTCATACTCCGTGACACCCGTCATTATTTTTCTCTAGAAGCCATGGAATAGGCCAACCCCCCCCTGTTTTTAACATTTTTTTTTTTAATTTTGAGCTCTAGTTTCAGATTTTTGAACATAGCGCCCTTCGATACCTTTCGAAAAAGATGCGTCTGTTTCCCATCAACAAGACCTATATAGTCATATCCCGTGACACCCCTCATTATTTTTCTCTAGAAGCCATGGAATAGGCCAACCCCCCTGTTTTTAACATTTTTTTTTTTTAATTTTGAGCTCTAGTTTCAGATTTTTGAACATAACGCCCTTCGATATCTTGCGCAGAAGATGCGCCTGTTTCTCCTCTACAAGACCTGTATAGTCATACTCCGTGACACCCCTCATTATTTTTCTCTAGAAACCATGGAATAGGCCAACCCCCCCTGTTTTTAACATTTTTTTTTTTAAATTTTGAGCTCTAGTTTCAGATTTTTTAACATAGCGCCCTTCGATACCTTGCGCAAAAGATGCGCCTGTTTCTGCTCTACAAGACCTGTATAGTCATACTCCGTGACACCCCTCATTATTTTTCTCTAGAAGGCATGGAATAGGCCAACCCCCCTGTTTTTAACATTTTTTTTTTTAATTTTGAGCTCTAGTTTAAGATTTTTGAACATAGCACCCTTCGATACCTTACGCAAAAGATGCGCCTGTTTCTCCTCTACAAGACCAATATAGTCATATCCCGTGACACCCCTCATTACTTTTCTCTAGAAGCCATGGAATAGGCCAACCCCCCTGTTTTTAAGATTTTTTTTTTTAATTTTGAGCTCTAGTTTCAGATTTTTGAACATAGCGCCCTTCGATACCTTGCGCAAAAGATGCGCCTGTTTCTCCTCTACAAGACCTATATAGTCATATCCCGTGACACCCCTCATTATTTTTCTCTAGAAGCCATGGAATAGGCCAACCCCCCTGTTTTTAACATTTTTTTTTTTAATTTTGAGCTCTAGTTTAAGATTTTTGAACATAGCGCCCTTCGATACCTTGCGCAAAAGATGCGCCTGTTTCTCCTCTACAAGACCTATATAGTCATACCCCGTGACAACCCTCATTATTTTTCTCTAGAAGCCATGGAATAGGCCAACCCCCCTGTTTTTAACATTTTTTTTAAATTTTGAGCTCTAGTTTCAGATTTTTGAACATAGCGCCCTCCGATACCTTGTGCAAAAGATGCGCCTATTTCTCTTCTACAATACCTATATAGTCATACCCCGTGACACCCCTCACTATTTTTCTCTAGAAGCCATGGAATAGGCCAACCCCCCTGTTTTTAACATTTTTTTAAAATTTTGAGCTCTAGTTTCAGATTTTTGAACATAGCGCCCTTCGATACCTTGCGCAAAAGATGCGCCTATTTTTCCTCTACAATACCTATATAGTCATACCCCGTGACACCCCTCATTATTTTTCTCTAGAAGCCATGGAATAGGCCAACCCCCCTGTTTTTAACATTTTTTTTTTTAATTTTGAGCTCTTGTTTCAGATTTCTGAACATAGCGCCCTTCGATACCTTGCGCAAAAGATGCGCCTGTTTCTCTTCTACAAGACCTGTATAGTCATACTCCGTGACACCCCTCATTGTTTTTCTCTAGAAGCCATTGAATAGGCCAACCCCCCTGTTTTTAACATTTTTTTTTTTTAATTTTGAGCTCTAGTTTCAGATTTTTGAACATAGCGCCCTTCGATACCTTGCGCAAAAGATGCGCCTGTTTCTCTTCTACAAGACCTGTATAGTCATACTCCGTGACACTCCTCATTATTTTTCTCTAGAAACCATGGAATAGGCCAACCCCCCCTGTTTTTAACAATTTTTTTTTTAAATTTTGAGCTCCAGTTTCAGATTTTTTAACATAGCGCCCTTCGATACCTTGCGCAAAAGATGCGCCTGTTTCTGCTCTACAAGACCTGTATAGTCATACTCCGTGACACCCGTCATTATTTTTCTCTAGAAGGCATGGAATAGGCCAACCCCCCTGTTTTTAACATTTTTTTTTAAATTTTTAGCTCTAGTTTCAGATTTTTGAACATAGCGCCCTTCGATACCTTGCGCAAAAGATGCGCCTGTTTCTGCTCTACAAGACCTGTATAGTCATACTCCGTGACACCCCTCATTATTTTTCTCTAGAAGGCATGGAATAGGCCAACCCCCCTGTTTTTAACAATTTTTTTTTAAATTTTGAGCTCTAGTTTCAGATTTTTGAACATAGCGCCCTTCGATACCTTGCGCAAAAGATGCGCCTGTTTCTCCTCTACAAGACCTGTATAGTCATACTCTGTAACACTCCTCATTATTTTTCTCTAGAAGCCATGGAATAGGCCAACCCCCCTGTTTTTAACATTTTTTTTTTTTAATTTTGAGCACTAGTTTCAGATTTTTGAACATAGCGCCCTTCGATACCTTGCTCAAAAGATGCGCCTGTTTCTGCTCTACAAGACCTATATAGTCATACTCCGTGACACCCCTCATTATTTTTCTCTAGAAGCCATGGAATAGGCTAACCCCCCTGTTTTTAACATTTTTTTTTTTAATTTTGAGCTCTAGTTTCAGATTTTTGAACATAGCACCCTTCGATACCTTGCGCAAAAGATGCGCCTGTTTCTCCTCTACAAGACCAATATAGTCATATCCCGTGACACTCCTCATTATTTTTCTCTAGAAGCCATGGAATAGGCCAACCCCCCTGTTTTTAACATTTTTTTTTTTAATTTTGAGCTCTAGTTTCAGATTTTTGAACATAGCACCTTTCGCTACCTTGCGCAAAAGATGCGCCTGTTTCTCCTCTACAAGACCAATATAGTCAAACCCCGTGACACCCCTCATTATTTTTCTCTAGAAGCCATGGAATAGGCCAACCCCCCCCCTGTTTTTAACATTTTTTTTTTAATTTTGAGCTCTAGTTTCAGATTTTTGAACATAGCGCCCTTTGATACCTTGCGCAAAAGATGCGCCTGTTTCTCCTCTACAAGACCTGTATAGTCATACTCCGTGACACCCGTCATTATTTTTCTCTAGAAGCCATGGAATAGGCCAACCCCCCCCTGTTTTTAACATTTTTTTTTTTAATTTTGAGCTCTAGTTTCAGATTTTTGAACATAGCGCCCTTCGATACCTTTCGAAAAAGATGCGTCTGTTTCTCATCAACAAGACCTATATAGTCATATCCCGTGACACCCCTCATTATTTTTCTCTAGAAGCCATGGAATAGGCCAACCCCCCTGTTTTTAACATTTTTTTTTTTTAATTTTGAGCTCTAGTTTCAGATTTTTGAACATAGCGCCCTTCGATACCTTGCGCAGAAGATGCGCCTGTTTCTCCTCTACAAGACCTGTATAGTCATACTCCGTGACACCCCTCATTATTTTTCTCTAGAAACCATGGAATAGGCCAACCCCCCCTGTTTTTAACAATTTTTTTTTAAAATTTTGAGCTCTAGTTTCAGATTTTTTAACATAGCGCCCTTCGATACCTTGCGCAAAAGATGCGCCTGTTTCTGCTCTACAAGACCTGTATAGTCATACTCCGTGACACCCCTCATTATTTTTCTCTAGAAGGCATGGAATAGGCCAACCCCCCTGTTTTTAACATTTTTTTTTTTAATTTTGAGCTCTAGTTTAAGATTTTTGAACATAGCACCCTTCGATACCTTACGCAAAAGATGCGCCTGTTTCTCCTCTACAAGACCAATATAGTCATATCCCGTGACACCCCTCATTATTTTTCTCTAGAAGCCATGGAATAGGCCAACCCCCCTGTTTTTAACATTTTTTTTTTTAATTTTGAGCTCTAGTTTCAGATTTTTGAACATAGCACCCTTCGATACCTTGCGCAAAAGATGCGCCTGTTTCTCCTCTACAAGACCTGTATAGTCATACTCCGTGACACCCGTCATTATTTTTCTCTAGAAGCCATGGAATAGGCCAACCCCCCTGTTTTTAACATTTTTTTTTTTTTAATTTTGAGCTCTAGTTTCAGATTTTTGAACATAGCGCCTTTCGATACCTTGCGCAAAAGATGCGCCTGTTTCTCTTCTACAAGACCAATATAGTCATATCCCGTGACACCCCTCATTATTTTTCTCTAGAAGGCATGGAATAGGCCAACCCCCCTGTTTTTAACATTTTTTTTTAAAAATTTGAGCTCTAGTTTAAGATTTTTGAACATAGCGCCCTTCGATACCTTGCGCAAAAGATGCGCCTGTTTCTCCTCTACAAGACCTATATAGTCATATCCCGTGACACCCCTCATTATTTTTCTCTAGAAGCCATGGAATAGGCCAATCCCCCTGTTTTTAACATTTTTTTTTAAATTTTTAGCTCTAGTTTCAGATTTTTGAACATAGCGCCCTTCGATACCTTGCGCAGAAGATGCGCCTGTTCCTCCTCTACAAGACCTGTATAGTCATACTCCGTGACACCCCTCATTATTTTTCTCTAGAAACCATGGAATAGGCCAACCCCCCCTGTTTTTAACAATTTTTTTTTTTAAATTTTGAGCTCTAGTTTCAGATTTTTGAACATAGCGCCCTTCGATACCTTGCGCAAAAGATGCGCCTGTTTCTGCTCTACAAGACCTGTATAGTCATACTCCGTGACACCCCTCATTATTTTTCTCTAGAAGGCATGGAATAGGCCAACTCCCCTGTTTTTAACATTTTTTTTTTTAATTTTCAGCTCTAGTTTCAGATTTTTGAACATAGCGCCCTTCGATACCTTGCGCAAAAGATGCGCCTGTTTCTCCTCTACAAGACCTGTATAGTCATACTCCGTAACACTCCTCATTATTTTTCTCTAGAAGCCATGGAATAGGCCAACCCCCCTGTTTTTAACATTTTTTTTTTTTAATTTTGAGCACTAGTTTCAGGTTTTTGAACATAGCGCCCTTCGATACCTTGCTCAAAAGATGCGCCTGTTTCTGCTCTACAAGACCTATATAGTCATACTCCGTGACATCCCTCATTATTTTTCTCTAGAAGCCATGGAATAGGCCAACCCCCCTGTTTTTAACATTTTTTTTTTTAATTTTGAGCTCTAGTTTAAGATTTTTGAACATAGCACCCTTCGATACCTTGCGCAAAAGATGCGCCTGTTTCTCCTCTACAAGACCAATATAGTCATATCCCGTGACACCCCTCATTATTTTTCTCTAGAAGCCATGGAATAGGCCAACCCCCCTGTTTTTAACATTTTTTTTTTTAATTTTGAGCTCTAGTTTCAGATTTTTGAACATAGCACCCTTCGATACCTTGCGCAAAAGATGCGCCTGTTTCTCCTCTACAAGACCAATATAGTCATATCCCGTGACACCCCTCATTATTTTTCTCTAGAAGCAATGGAATAGGCCAACCCCCCTGTTTTTAACATTGTTTTTTTTAATTTTGAGCTCTAGTTTAAGATTTTTGAACATAGCGCTTTTCGCTACCTTGCGCAAAAGATGCGCCTGTTTCTCCTCTACAAGACCAATATAGTCAAACCCCGTGACACCCCTCATTATTTTTCTCTAGAAGCCATGGAATAGGCCAACCCCCCCCCCCCCCCCCCCCCCCCCCTGTTTTTAACATTTTTTTTTTAATTTTGAGCTCTAGTTTCAGATTTTTGAACATAGCGCCCTTTGATACCTTGCGCAAAAGATGCGCCTGTTTCTCCTCTACAAGACCTGTATAGTCATACTCCGTGACACCCCTCATTATTTTTCTCTAGAAGCCATGGAATAGGCCAACCCCCCTGTTTTTAACATTTTTTTTTTTTTAATTTTGAGCTCTAGTTTCAGATTTTTGAACATAGCGCCTTTCGATACCTTGCGCAAAAGATGCGCCTGTTTCTCTTCTACAAGACCAATATAGTCATATCCCGTGACACCCCTCATTATTTTTCTCTAGAAGCCATGGAATAGGCCAACCCCCCCCCCCTGTTTTTAACATTTTTTTTTTTAATTTTGAGCTCTAGTTTCAGATTTTTGAACATAGCGCCCTTCGATACCTTGCGCAAAAGATGCGCCTGTTTCTCTTCTACAAGACCTGTATAGTCATACTCCGTAACAACCCTCATTATTTTTCTCTAGAAGCCATGGAATAGGCCAACCCCCTGTTTTTAACATTTTTTTTTTTTAATTTTGAGCTCTAGTTTCAGATTTTTGAACATAGCGCCCTTCGATACCTTGCGCAAAAGATGCGCCTGTTTCTCTTCTACAAGACCAATATAGTCATATCCCGTGACACCCCTCATTATTTTTCTCTAGAAGCCATGGAATGGCCAACCCCCCCCCCTGTTTTTAACATTTTTTTTTTAAATTTTGAGCTCTAGTTTCAGATTTTTGAACATAGCGCCCTTCGATACCTTGCTCATAAGATGCGCCTGTTTCTCCTCTACAAGACCTATATAGTCATACCCCGTGACACCCCTCATTATTTTTCTCTAGAAGCCATGGAATAGGCCAACCCCCTTGTTTTTAACCTTTTTTTTTTTTAATTTTGAGCTCTAGTTTCAGATTTTTGAACATAGCGCCCTTCAATACCTTGCGCAAAAGATGCGCCTGTTTCTCCTCTACAAGACCTATATAGTCATATCCCGTGACACCCCTCATTATTTTTCTCTAGAAGCCATGGAATAGGCCAACCCCCCTGTTTTTAACATTTTTTTTTTTAATTTTGAGCTCTAGTTTCAGATTTTTGAACATAGCGCCCTTCGATACCTTGCGCAAAAGATGCGCCTGTTTCTCCTCTACAAGACCAATATAGTCAAACCCCGTGACACCCCTCATTATTTTTCTCTAGAAGCCATGGAATAAGCCAACCCCCTGTTTTTAACATTTTTTTTTTAATTTTGAGCTCTAGTTTCAGATTTTTGAACATAGCGCCCGTTGATACCTTGCGCAAAAGATGCGCCTGTTTCTCCTCTACAAGACCTGTATAGTCATACCCCGTGACACCCCTCATTATTTTTCTGTAGAAGCCATGGAATAGGCCAACCCCCTGTTTTTAACATTTTTTTTTTTTTAATTTTGAGCTCTAGTTTCAGATTTTTGAACATAGCGCCCTTCGATACCTTGCTCAAAAGATGCGCCTGTTTCTGCTCCACAAGACCTATATAGTCATACCCCGTGACACCCCTCATTATTTTTCTCTAGAAGCCATGGAATAGACCAACCCCCCTGTTTTTAACATTTTTTTTTTAATTTTGAGCTCTAGTTTCAGATTTTTGAACATAGCGCTCTTCGATACCTTGCGCAAAAGATGCGCCTGTTTCTCCTCTACAAGACCTATATAGTCATATCCCGTGACACCCCTCATTATTTTTCTCTAGAAGCCATGGAATAGGCCAACCCCCCTGTTTTCAACATTTTTTTTTTTATTTTGAGCTCTAGTTTCAGATTTTTGAACATAGCGCCCTTCGATACCTTGCGCAAAAGATGCGCCTGTTTCTCCTCTACAAGACCTATATAGTCATACCCCGTGACACCCCTCATTATTTTTCTCTAGAAGCCATGGAATAGGCCAACCCCCCTGTTTTTAACATTTTTTTTTTTATTTTGAGCTCTAGTTTCAGATATTTGAACATAGCGCCCTTCAATACCTTGCGCAAAAGATGCGCCTGTTTCTCCTCTACAAGACCTATATAGTCATACCCCGTGACACCCCTCATTTTTCTCTATAAGCCATGGAATAGGCCAACCCCCATTTCTACAAATGTGTATCTTAGTTCAATTAAACAATGACTTCAAAGATGCTGTATTTTACAGGAAAGGACTACTTTTACATACGTTCTAAATTGAAGTGGGTGCATTAGTGGTCTTACACCTACAAATAATCCCTTGACAGATGCATATTTACTGTGGTACTGAATATTAGCCTAAAAAGAGATGTGACTTGTTTTATCAATGGATGGGATAAATACCATTTCACGATAGAGTTGAAATTGCAATATTTGGACGGAATGTCTGCCTTTTTAAATATTTTTCATTTGACGGCCGTTGGTGTCTTATTCATTTTTTCGGTTTTTAGATATATCGCCTTATTGTTCGCTGGCTTATTGTTCGCTAGTTATTGTTCGCTAGCTTCAGCCTGGTCAAACAATGAGATAAAACAAAAAAAAACAAAATTAAGAACAATTTAAGTTCTTAAAGTAATATATAGATAAAGAACCTATAATTTTAAATATATAATGCATTATCATGCAAGTGTGGTTGATAAAAATAACAAACAAACAGCCAAAAATAGATATATATATATATGCATAAATCTATTCATATAAATGAATGACAACCATAAACAATGAAAATTTCAATTCTAGAAGTTTTCCTACTGACTGTTCTTATGCTCTGATTAAGGGAGAAGGTACCAAAAACATCCTTTTTTTTTTTTTGTGGGGTAGGCATTTGTTGCCCCCTTAACAAAAAAATGTATAACAATCTAATAGGGCCTGGGCTTATCTCGCCCTTTATGTAAATAAATTCAGATACAAATTATTCTGTTCTGCTATCTTTTCGATGTCTTTCACACGTTGTTCTGAGTAGAGAAAGTTTCTCTTATCTCTGACATCTAACCAATGTCATGCCTTCTCTTGACATCCTTATAGAAGGCTTCATTGTCTTGTTTCTTTATTAGTCCTTGTTCTTTTTAGGTCTCACAATGTGCCATTAGTATTGTTGTTTCTCCTTCCACTTCAAGTAAGTAAGTCTTTTGTGGAAGGTCTAGTGTGATTTTTTTGTATTATTATCTCCCCCTTTTTGTGTTTGCGGCGTTCCTTTCTTTCTCTACCCGTTGTCGATTTACATTCGACACCTACAGAGGAAGCGGGGCCTTTTGGCGATGATGTGGCTGTTGGTAGTGGAGGAGCTTTATCTTTCTTAGAGATTTCCTCGGCCGGTGCTTCCGTTGACGAGTCTGTCTCTATTGGTTGAGCGGTATTGCCTAGCTCATCAGGTTTTGAGGAGTCATTGTCTAACATTAGAGCTGGAGTTCCAATCTCTGCAGTTGACTCGGACTTTTTGGCCAAAAATGCCCTCAGTCTGCGGTTATTCCTTTCAGAACGGGACTTTGATGACTTCTTTTTAGGTGGTAATGTCGACCTCTCTCTTTCCGCTATCTTTCAGGGTGTCCATTTTACAGTAAGTTTGTAACATCCATTCCGAGCTGATAAAGCCCAGTCGGCGGTTTGGTGTTCTAACAAATGCAAAATGGTAAAGATATCACCAGATAATACGGGCTGTTGTTGGTGTGTTTCACTGCCATCATCAGACATTATGAGAGTTTCCTGACATGTTGATTGCTTTGTGAAGTTCTCTAAAATAGTTTTACGAAGTAAATCGGACACAAACGTACATCCACACAACCACAAACACCCTGTTACTACGTAGGAGGGGCCTACCCCCGGTCGTATATTGCTAATGAGGCCCCTCATGGGGGTCCCAGTCATCACATAATCACCAATTTTTTACCAATATAATCACATGATCATTAAATATTTGCTTTGGTAATCAGAAATTGATTTTCTTTAGTAATCAAATAATCATAAACTAAAAGCTTGGTAATCATTTAATTATAATTTAAATGAAAAATATTTAATAACAAAAAAAGCTTCAACAGTTGTTAATAAAATCTGGGTCTTCTCTGGCATGTCAGACATGTCTTAAATTGCTTGTTTACTTCTTCCATGATTTTTTTTGAGGAAGCTTTTCTTCTTACTCATCATCCTTCTCCTCGGGTGAAACAGTATCACAGATCTGCGTCTTTTGCTGGTGGACAATTTTTGTGTACAATTCTGATGTAAGAACAATTGTATCTGATCTTCCCCCTCAACATCTTCAAGCTCTAGTGTTCCTAAAGGAGCAACCATTTGATTCTCTGGGGTGGGGCAGGGATTGGTACCCAAAGTCAATAATTTTTTTACTCAGACCAGAAAACGCCTTTTTCATGGCCAATCACAAACACAATTAATTTTTCAACATTTATTAAAAACATTTTTTTTACACTTTTATATTTTTATGTTGTTTTAAATTAATTTAACTTGAATTTATATGTGTTTACTTTATTCGATACATGTACATGTATATACCAAGCCAAGTCAGATTAATATTGTTTCTCGCCGGACTATTCAAAAGGCCAGGAGAGCTTTCGCCATCATTTGTCGTCTTCGATAGATCAGATTGACTGACAAGCTGTCTATATAAAGTAATGGGACAATGACACGAAGACATCACCAAATCACCCAAATGCAATACACAAAATGACACCCAGAGCTTACCACATGGTCTTCAACTGAGCAGGAACTACCCACCAACAGCCATTCAGCTCTGGTTGGCTCTAAACACAAATCCAAGAGCACAGCAAAATGTCAAAATATCCATGACCTGGGAGGAAACATTGGAATTTCTCTTTTTTTTCAAGTCTCCGCCTTGAGCATGTTGAGGAAAGAAAAAATATTCAAGATCCCCCTTCCAAAGACATAAAAATCCCCCCCCCCTCTTTCAACATTTCTCAATACTTTTATTCTTTATAACAAAAATAAAGAGATGTGGTATGATTGCCAATGAGACAACTATCCACCAAAGTTCAAATGATGAGGATGTTATCAAGTAAAGGCAACCGTACGACCTTCAACAATGTGAAAAAACCCATACCGTATAGTCGGCCCTGACATGAAAAATATAAAACAGTTCAATTGAGAAAAATAACGGCTTATTAATAACAAAACAATTTACGAAAAACAAATATGACGGACATGAACCAACCTCAACCAATAAACTACAGGCTTCTGACTTGGGACAGGCACATACAGTATGTGGCGGGGTTTAACATGTTTGTGAGCGCTCAACCCTCCCCTAACCTGGGACATTTTGTTACAGCACAACTTAAGAACAAACTATAAAAATAAGTTGAAAAGGGCTTAACTCATCAAATCGATACAAAACAGAAAAACATCTTATAACAAGAATGTGTCCATAGTACACGGATGCCCCACTCACACTATCATTTTCTATGTTCAGTGGACCGTGAAATTGGGGTCAAAACTCTAATTTGGTATTAAAATTAGAAAGATCATATCATGGGGAACATGTGTACTAAGTTTCAAGTTGATTCATCAACAACTACCTTGACCAAAAACTTTAAGCGGACAGACGGACGGACGGACGGACGAACGAACGAATGAACGAACGGACGCACATACCAAAAAACAAAATGCCCTTCTACTATCGTAGGTGGGGCATAAAAATACAGACCGGACGTGGCAGGGTATTTATATTTCCTTAACAAACAAAAAAGGACACTAAGTACAGATTTGAGAGTACTCGCAGTAACTGACAGTTAGTTCAAAGCCAATAACAACTAATAAAAAAATCATGTATCTAAGAATAAAATATCAATCAGTACACATCCAACATCCAATGGATTTAGTGTTAAGACCTCATTAACAGTCTGAGAAAGACATGATCTTGTGCAATGCCAAAATATATGTATCGACATATTGTAGTACCTTGGAAGTGCATATGTGTATAACAATACTATTTATAAATAAGATGTGGTATGAGTGCCAATGAGACAACTCTCCATTCAAGTCACAATGTGTAAAAAGTAAACAATTATAGGTCAAAGTATGGCCTTCAACACGGAGCCTTGGCTCACACCGAAAAGCAAGCTATAAAGGGCCCCAAAATGACTAGTGTAAAACAATTCAAACAGGAAAATCAACGGTCTAATCTATATAAATAACGAGAAACGAGAAACACTTATGAACCACACCAACAAACTTCAGTATGGATTTAATTTACTGATAACAAAATCAATATGTATACCAATAAAAGCAATATTCAAAGATCTAATTACAGAGTTCAACAGGTAACTTTTTAGAATAAGATTATTTTAAGGATTGATAAGTTTACCCGGATCGTTTTTGATTTACATGCATACAATTTATATTTATATTATTATTGATAAACACAATATTGCATAATTAGTGGAAATAGATCTTCAAGTGAAGGAAGTTGTTTGTGACTTCAGGGAACTTTATTTGGATATGCTTGTTATGATCTAATTGAGATTTACCAAACCTTAATTAAATTTCAGCACAATGTTCAAATCCTTTATTAAAGATTGATTGATTGTTGGTGTTTTAACGCCACTTTTAAGCGCCACATTTGGGCTATTTCGCGGCGGTCAGTTTTTATAGGTGGAGGAAATCGGAGTGCCAGGAGAAAACCACCGACCTTCGATAGGAAAACTGACAATCCTAGTCAATTAAGATTGGAGTCGAGTGCACCCGCACGAGCGGGGTTCGAACTCACAACCTCAGTGTTGACTGGCTAGTGATTACAGTAGTATCTCTGATTTCGTTATACTTATGTGAACGAGCACGTTGATATAGTTATGAATTTAAATAAGATTGCTGGCAAATGCATTCAAACTTAGGATTTAATTCTGAACAATTTTGCCGAGCGGAGCGTGTCGAAAAAAAATTGACGTCTTCCAAGCCAAAATTTATATTTTTGCTATTCACAACAATTTATTTTTTTTAAACTTGGTAATCAATTATAATAAAAAATACAGTCCTAGATAATAAAATAATCATTAAATATTTGGTCTAGTAATCAAATAATCACTAAAAAAACGGCCAAGTAATCACATAATCAAAAACCCCATGAGG